AGTCACCGGGCCCTGCCTGGCGGCGAGCCCTGCCGCGGAGTACGGAACTCCCCACGAGCCGCGCTCCGGCCGCGGCATCCGGAGCTTGTGAGTAGCAAAGGGCAAGCGCGGGAGTGGAGTCGCGCGCCAGACTAGTCCGGGGCAAGGCGGCCATTTTTCTCCTCCCGCGGCGGGGCGTACGTACCTGACCGCGTCTAAAGTCAACTCCACTAGCTTCAATGCCCTTAACTTCACTCTACAGGGAAAGGGCTCCTGTTTTCAATATCCTGCAGAAATGAACGGATTTGATTTCCAGAAAGAATAAGGATACTAAACAGAAGCCTGTGACGATGTTTGTCTGTACCGATTATCTTTCTTAAAATATTTTGTGTATTAAAGTTTTGGCATCTTTGTTTTAATTCACTTTCTTATGGACAAAGATAAGGTTTATAGGGAAACGTAACGGCTCTGCATATATAAATATATATATATAGCCTTTTACTTTAAATAAATTAATAAGCAAGTCTAGTAAAAACATAGTTGCACTAAAGTTATGTAAAATATAATTTTTATAGTCTTAAAAATGTCTGTATGCAGATAAGTACAAGAGTAACTTAACCACAAGTACAACAGCGAGGAAAAAAACGTTCAAGAGATACCATCTGGTTGAGTGGTTTATTTAATCTAACATACAGCAATACAATTTCTATAGTGCTTCTAAAAAATACTTTAGATAAAAACATTTCATGGAAACAGCCTTCTGTTTCTCTTTTGTGACAAGCAGAATAACAGTTTTTCCACAAGAGTTGCAATAATGCTTGACTCTACATTCAGACAGCAAGAGAGCCACTGTGAATTACACTTTATTCTTGAATACAGTTGAATTCTGTATTTTTAAAATGTCTTCCAGAAGCACACTTGACATCATTCTGAAGTACCCTAGCGACAAAACAGAGCAAAAGACCAGCACTATGGTCCAATAACTATACATGTGATAACTTCCAGATCTTTTTTACTGTAAATCTGCTGCATAGGCTACACTGGAAGCTGATATGGCACACCTTTTATGTGCAAGTCAGGCCTAAAAACCATTATAAGAGCATGTGACAAGGGAAATCACTTGGATCATATAATTATTTATTCTGTTCATCCATATGCAAGTCCAGTTATAGGCACTAAATAAGGCAGATAAAGTTGCATATAAAATTAAAGTTTGCAATATCATATATGTAGACAAAGATATACAAGACTTCAAGCAACTTTCATTTATCAGCCAGAGAAGTCAGGCTTACTGCAAGCTGCTACAGAAAAATACACGCATAAACATAAAGGGCTGCTTAGAGGCTCTATCCCATCTGTTTGGCAAATCATGAGTACTTTAAATGCAAGTCCATTTCAATGAAAGCAGAGATTCCACATGATAAAGCTGACAGGAGGAGGAAGAAAAATTTTTCCTATAGTGGCACACCCCTGTAGTGAGTTTCAGCATATAGTTTTCCTCAATTACTAGTTTGGACAGTTGTCAGTGATTCACATCTGCACCAAAGATTCAAATATTAGAGCCCCTTCTGATGTGCTTATGGCTAGGTTATCTAGTCATTTCTCTCCACATGCTCTAAAAGTAGATTTTTTTTTTTTTCATGTTGTTGCATTAGCAACGTATGCTGATGTGGACATATTTCGATGTTAGTTTATTATGTAGAAAGCCAGCCAAGAGCTCACTGACAACACAGACTGAAATTTGTAGATTCATCTTGATAATTCTGTCACTGATCTTAAAATCTCTTAGGCAACACGAGGGTACATGTCTGCTTCCTATTTCATATCCACCAAACACTCAAAAGAAAGTACTTCAGCTGAACTAACTAACAGTTCTTAAGGCTGTAGGCAAACAAAAATCACTACCAAAAAAAAAAAAAAGTAAACAGAGCTTTGACCCACCCAAGTTTGAAATTCCTCATGACCAAAAAATGATTCAGCATGCCTGCTTTCTCTGATAACCGAAGATGTGGAAGGGAAGGTGAGAGACTAAAGGACACTAAATGAAAGAACAAAAAAAAAAAAAAGTCGTACATAGTGCTCAAACACTATAAAACCCACTAGGATCCAGTAAGGTTCTATCTCAGTGCATTTCAGTAAAACACAGTTGTGAAGAGATTTTTGGGTGGCAGGGGAATGACAGTAGTAGCCTTACCAAATTTTTGTCCAGGTAGGTCTTCTGCTCATGAGGAGCAATAGGGGAACAAGCACAAAAAGATATAAGCTCTAATAGTGACTAGAACCATCACTCTGGGAAATATTTAGACAGGACCGGGTCAAGTTGGACTACTTAAAAAACAAGGGTGACATTTCACATACTGAAGACTGAGATCAGGAAGAGACTTCTAGAGAAAAAGCAGCCACAATTTCAGAGATCTGAGCTAGATGGCACTGCCAAAAATGAAGGACGGAGTGGACGAGAATGCATTAGTCAAGGCAAGAAAGATTCAGAATTTTGACAGGTTTATGCTATGGCTGCAGTCAGAAACGTGCATGTGTGCGCACACGCATGAGGGAGAGACATTTTGTTTGTCTTGGCTTTCTTTGTTTTTCTACAACATTAAGCAGTGATGTGCACATGCTGGAAACTTAACAGCTTCACATCAGCCAAAGATTATGAATTCAGCACTAAGGCTGGTTAGTGAGGGGAAGCTGAGAATCAGCAGCCATTTTGGGGGCATAGTTTCAGTTATCACAAAGTCAAGGCAAGATCACAGTAAGGGTAAGGGCAAAAGTGTCTTAAGAATTTAGGTGGCTTGAAAAATTCAGAGTTACTTTCTCTTCAGATTGAGTTCACATGAGCTAAAAGTTTAAGAGCATGGAATATATGGCAGAGGGGTGTGGATATAGATGCTATTTTCATCATACTCTGAGCTATTAATTCAGGCTTGGAAACATCAGAATAAGACTAATGTAAGAAAAATTATATTGAGGTAGCACAGAATGGACAATCCAGGAGATACCATGAAAACATACCAAACTGCTATCATACCATGGAATGGCTTCTCAACACCTCAAGTTATAGAATTCCTCCTGGCAGACTGCATCTGCTTTTTGAGTTTTGTTTTGTTAAGAGAGGTTTGCTTCTTAAGCAAGTACAGAGACAGAATGAAAATTCAGAAGTGTAGAATGAAATTAAAAAAAAAAAAAAAAGAACTTCTAAATGCTTGAGGAATGGAAGGAATACACCTCAACATACCTATTTTCTCAATAGTGTTGTTCAACATGAAAGTCCTGTTCTGGATTGGTTTCTGCATGTAAGTCAGCAG